GCAAGGCAAGGAAGAGGAAGGAGAAAGGGAAATACAGGGAAAAATAGAATTTTTTAAGTTTTTATTGTTATATTATTATTTTTTGCTATGCTGTCTCTCCACAGGAACTTAATATTTTGACATGTCATCATGCTTCTAATAGTTAATGGGACACGTAAGCAGACTTTTAATAGAAGGATCAAGTTGACATCAAAATGATAAACAATAAAAACTAAATCAAGAAATTTTTGAGTTAAAGGACTTAATCAAAAATTTATATAATAGTTAAGAGACTAAAAATAAAATTTAACCTAAATAAAATTATATAAAAAAATTAATTCTAAATCATTTAGACTGATGGAGGTAGCAATCACCAGAAAACAATTAGACTGACGGAGGAGCCCACGGGAATGCATTCTACGTGGAAAGAGGAAGAAAGAACCACACACTTTTGCGGAATTATTCAACCAGCTGGTGTTCCGTGTTCGGACTTTCTAGTTCCGATATTTTTGTCATGGGTCCCATGCCAAAAGCACTTCCCGACGGCCCTCACCCTCCATTTTTTTGCCATCTGGCCCCAAGGGAAAAGGCCAAACCGTTGCTAACGCAGAGAGAAAGGAACGAAAATATCGAACATATGGTTTTTCGTTCAAAGTTACGTCTGATAATATTTTGTACCTACTTTTTGTAACATAGTATTTTATTTAAAGTATAAATTTATTATTTTAATTATTTTAATTAATTCTTACATATTTCTATTAATTTTAATTAATATTTTATATATTTAACATAATAAAAGACGAAAAAAAAAAACCTTAAAAATGGAACAACCTTAGCATTTCGTTCCAAATTTGTCGTTTTCATTTGCCGTCTTGTTTATCATACTCCCACACCGAAAGCCTGGCAAGTTGCCAGTTGACAGTCCACCTAAGGCCTGCACAGGCGACACTGATTCCTTGAGCCCACTATCCGTATATCCCAGATGTCCTGTCACTTTTTAAAAATTTGATTGACACTTGTACAGTTTGCCCATGTTCTTTACCGAAGCTCCATTTCTGAAACCTTCCGCATTATTTCACAAATCGCAGAGCATACTGTAAATCAATTATTGGATTACTTTCATACGTGTTTCCAATTTTTTTTTTTTAAAAAAAATCATAATTGTGTATCAATCGTTCTTCACATTAATTTCAGAGCTCATTCGTCCACTCTTCAGTGTGCAAACTTGATTTTTTTTTAAAAAAAAATAATAATAATAATTAAGGTGTTTTTAATTAATTTATGTATATTTCAAAATTAATATTTTTATGATTTAGTTAAAAATAAATTATTTATGTCAAAAATAAAAAATTTGTAAGTAATTATTTTTTTATTGGTTTTTTAAAAAAATTAAATCTTAATTAATAAAATAGAAAATAAATCCCATTATTAACTGAACTTCAACTCGGTTAGAGCTGATTTTTCTCTAAGGGGTTTTCGTTCTCATTTTCCACCATGGCAAGAATTCGCCGCAGTGTCCCGACTTCAGTCTTCCGTTTGGAAAAATCGAACATCGGTCAAGGGGTAAAATGCCAACATCAAACTCAATTGCCAATCACGGTTGAAAAAAATGCAAAAAGTGGTTGTCTGCGTGTGGCCTGAAGGCCCTTAACCATCTACTTCGTGGTAATAACCAAAGCCCACATTTTCTGTCTGTCTCTTTCCGGGCTGCTCTTGCGCTGAGTCACAGCCCATAACTGATACCTCATCAACGGCTCGCTGCCGTTTAACCGAAGTAGAACTGCCCCAGTGATGTTTCCTTGAAATTTCGCGTCTTCTTCAAACAGTATATAAAGGAAAACTTCGGCCCTCTTCAAATTCAAGCAGAGAAAATTTATTTCATTTAAAAAAACAAAATATCATTCCAAGACCATTGCCCATTTTCCAAAAAAAAAAAATCATTCCAAGAGAGAAACCGTTATGGCTCCCAGCAAGACGGCGGCTAAACAGAATTCAGGAACATCCATAACAAACAAGAACCAGGTACTTTACTACAAATCCACCGTCAGAATGGTTCCTTTTTCTTTTTACCTCCTCATAGTTGTGGTTTTTTAAAATTATTTCAGAGAACAGCATGGAGAAGAAAACAGCTGAGCCTCAAGAAGCTGAAGGCGGAGATGGAGGACATCAAGGTGGAGATGGAGAAGCTCAGGGCGGAGGTGTATATCATTTCTCAGGGACAAAAGCATTTAAAAGGCAAAAGGTGAATTAGTCAGATATCAGTACTTACTGAAATTCTATTTGAACCTAAATCATCTCTCTAAGAGTCCATATTTCTTACATTCCCGTTTCCTGATTCCTAACTGGTTACAGATCAAAAGGAAAAGAGAAAGCAGGAATGGAAGAACTCATGCACTCAACGCTACACCTGACTCTTATACACATCTCTAAAAAAAGAAAAAAGAAAATTATTCTCTTTTATATAATTTATTATTAAATAATTTGTAAGTTTATATAAAAAAATTATTAAAAAATATATTTTTAAACGATTTTTCTTTAAAAAAAAAACCCAGTAGGCCAGATTGTCAGGCACCTTGTATCGTTTTTAAATTTGATTAACACTTCTGCAGTTTGACCCAACTCTTTACCGAAGCTGAATTTCTGAAACCTATTGCATTTTTTCCCAAACCCTTTTGCAGAGCATATTGTAAATCAATTATTGGCTTAATTTCATACATGTGTTTCGAATATAAAAAAAGAAAACATAGTTGTGTACCAAGGGCTCTTCACATTAATCTCAGAACTCAATTGTCCACCGTCCAGTGTCTAAACCTGATTTTTGTCTAATGGGTCTTCGTTCTATTTTTCCACCATGGCAAGGCTTGAGTCTTCGATCTTCCGTTTGGAAAATCGAACTTCGGTAAAGGGGTAAATTGCCAATCACAGATTAAAGAAAGAAAAAAAAATGTTGTGTAACCAAAGTCCACATTATAGGGGTCCGTGCATGGTTAAGTTACACAAATTATTATATGTGTATTGAGTTTAATAGATATTTTATTAAC